ATGTAAAAGTTGGGTATTCATCCTTTCTGATGGCTGAGTAATATTCCATTGTATATATGGACCACATCTTCTTTATCCATTCATCTGTTGAAGGGCATCTTGGCTCTTTCCACATTTCTGACTTGATAAAACGTGCCTGCAAGAGCTACTCTTCTAGATCACGTGGGAGGTACGGGGAAGGGCTTCTCCAGGAGGTGACGAACCAGTGCTGTTTGGTTCCGGGTTGTGACTTCTTCCCGGGGCCACGCTCAAACGTGGCTTGGTTTACTTTATCAGTCCCTCCATCACTGGGAAAAGCTAACACACTGATGATAAGGAAGAAGAAAATGACGGAGAGGATGCCCCTCCAGATGTTGTCCTCTGGGACAGAGTCATCCCGGGTGAAGGCGAAGTACATGAGGCTGACGATGGTGAAGCTGAGCAGGGTGATGGTGTGCGGCCGGTAGAAGAAGTCGATGGTGATGTCCTCCACTTGCTGCTCGTTGATCATCCGGAAATGCATCTTGTAGTTCACATCATCTTTGCTCAGGGTCCGACTCCCCACGCAGGACGCCATGGCCCGCCTCCCCGTCCTGCGGCGGCGGCGGCGGCGGTCCCGGCCCGTGGAGGCTGGGACCCCGGAGGTGACGAGCCGCTGCAGGAGGGCAGCCGGACGGCGGGGTCGAGTCTGGCCGAGAATTATTGATTTCTTGATGTATTAACCTTAGACATCAGCTAAGGAATTTATGCTATGGCAGGTGAAATAGGGCTCAGTGCTTCTCAGATTGTAATGTGCTTTGAACCACCTTAGTGAAATGGAGATTCTTATTCTGGAGGCCAGTGCCCGGGGTGGGGTGGGGGGGGTGGAGGTGGCACACTGGGATCTGTCCCTAAACCTCCCTCTTACCACCCACACTTGCCTAACTTATGAGCAAATTTTCTCCTGTGATGAACTTTCTATTGGCAATAATTTTCAGAAGAGGAGGGATGATGTTCTCTCTCGTGGGTCCCTGCATCTTTGCCCTGGGAAAAATAACCCTTGGGAAGGTAATGCTGACTCTGGGAATGTTATTTTTAATTCTGCTTCCAGGGGACTGCGGGGAGCGAGGCCATGGCCACCGAAGAGATGTCTAACCTGGTGAACTATATTCAGCCAGTCAAGTTTGAGTCATTTGAAACTTCAAAAAGTAAGTTTTCCCTGGAGAAGAACCCCTAATGTAGCCTAGAATGAGTATCCTTTCAATACAAGGTAGTTAGAACAAAGAATATTACCCTTAACAGAACTCTTCTGGAAAGTCTTGAATATATGCCTGGGTGGATGATCATAACCATGTGAGAAGTTTATTCTACGATGTTTCCCCAAAATTCTTAATAGGGCTGTAGGCCATCCACGGTTATCTGAAAGATACTAGAGTACAGCTAATTGAGAGTTTCACAGTTGTTTTTGTTCAACAACATAATGCGTTCCTTCCATTAGATAAGGGACAGTATTGAAATAAACTATTTACCCATCCCCTGGAAGGGGAGCGGCCAGAGAAGTGGTTAGCCCTGATGACTAGAAATAGAACACAATCAGTCAGTTCACCCACATTCTGTTTGTCCAGCCTGTTTGATAACATTAACTTCACATCATTTTTTGTTCTCCCTTCATCCAAGTACACATCCATACTGGGTGCAAAGAAAAAAATAGCATCTTTCCCCCACCTAAAGAAAAGAGCCCTTTTATGAAATTGCCCTTTTTTTGATGAAATGTAAGATGCTATGAAGAGAATCCTTGGGACATTTTAGCTGCTTTTATGAGTGTGCTCTTAAAGGCTGAATTTTTGCTTAAATATAGCAGGCTCTGATAAAGCATAGTTTTATAAATACATCAAAATCTAAGCTTCTACGTAACACACTTACGTATAAGTGTATAATTTTACCCAAAGAGCCTTAACTTTGTAGTATATAGTATCTAGATCTCTACAATGAGGAATTTAACTTTCAATACAGTTTATATATAAATATTTCAACATTTTTTTATTTTTACAAGTACTGATACATCTTACCGCAAGTTGTTCAGTTTGAAATGTCCTAAAGTAGTTATTTTTATATTTCTATAACTTTCATTGGCTGTAAAATGAGTTTTCCTAATTCATGAGTCAAAAGTTCCTAGACAAGTAGCCAAGTTGAGAAGGAACTGATGCATTGATAATCTTTCAGAACCTGTTAACAACAGCATGGGCCAAAGATTGACAAACAAGTACTTTTCTCCTTGTGTTTCACTGAACATACATTACAAGAGCACCTACTAAATGGACTGAATTTTAATTGGCAGTCTTGCTTAAATAACTAGTCATATGAAAATAGGTTTCTGATGGACCAAAATAAGAGAAGTAAGGGTTTCCTGTAGAGTTGATTAAATTGGGGAAAGGTAAGGAGATGGATAAAAGAGTCTAGGAATGACTTAGGAAGAAAAATGAAGCTTTAATTATGGAAGTGGGCATCAAAGAGGGGAAAATGACTCAAAGGTAATAACTCTGTTTAAAAACTGAGAGCTGGGAGCACTTGGTGGCTCAGTAGGTTAAGGGGCTAAGCATCTCCCTTTGGCTCAGGTCATGATCCCAGAGTCCTGGAATGGAGCCCCACGTCAGGCTCCCTGCTCAGTGGGGAGTCTGCTTCTCCCTCTCCCTCTACTCCTTCCCCTGCTTATGCTCTCTCTCTCTTCTGCTCACTCTTTCTCTGAAAGAAATAAATAAAATCTTAAAAAAAATGTTTTTAAATAAATAAATAAAAACTGAGAACTGTCGAGGTGCCTTGCTGGCTCATTCAGTTGAGCATCAGACTCTTGGTTTCAGCTCAGGTCATGATCTCAGGGTCCTGGGATCGAGCCCCAAATCCAGCTCTACACGCAGCCCAGAGTCTGCTTCAGAGTCTCTCCCTCTGCCCCTCCCCCCACTTGCCCCCACACTTTCTCTCTCAAATAAATAAAATCTTAAAACAAAATAAACATAAATTTAAAAAAAAAAACCCTGAGAGCTTTCTAACCACCCTTGCCTCAGTATTGTGTGTGACACTTTGGTTTTTAGCTGGGAGGAGGACAGAGAAGCTGTTGGACTCTTAGTCTTTACAGACTAAGATAACTTTGTTTTATTTCTTCCATTCTAATGGGAAGTTTGGATTCCACTTTAAAAATGTTGCTCCTGTATTCTACTGAGACCTCTAGCACATTCATCTCTCAGGCCTCTCTTATCTAATCTGAAAATGAGGCCATCAGACTGGAAAATTTCCAAGGATTCTTCTGCTTTGAAATACCCTGAGCTTAATGTCACGTTAGCTGTTTGAACTGAAGGGGTGCATACAAACTGAGGCAATGACAATGTGATAATCAAAGAGAGAGTCAGAGACACCAATCTGAATGGATTTAAAACAAAAGATTCCCCTAGGGCTCCTTTTCTTTTAACAAAACAGCTTTCATTTACCACATCTAAAATTCATTTCCCCATCCTAGTACAAGGCCATAAGCATAGCTGAATCAGGTAGTAAGAATGAGAAGAAACAGCTTCCTAGAAGACTCAACTTTGGGTGCAGATAAATGGTTCACTGAAAGAAATACATTTATAAAGTCATGTTGGGGATTCATTGCCCTAACTTCACTGAACATGCGCCTACTTCTTGCATGTTATAATTTATACCATTACATTTTACTTCTCGCCTGTTTTTCTTGTCATGAATTCAGAAAGAAACAGAAGTTTTGAAATGTCTTCCTTCGTGGAAACCAAAGGCCTCGAGCAACTGACGAAGTCTCCAGTGGAATTTGTAGAGTATCCTTGATTTGACGATTGACGGCTGAAGTGACCCAGCTGAAGCCACATGCCATTCGTTTGATTTTTGTCTTGAATAAGGAGAAGGATGCATGAAATGGCTTCTGACTGTCACGTGGGTGTGAGAAACAGTTTCAGGTTTCATAGGCGAGGCTGAGGAGGGTGGCCTGGCACTGGTCTCTGCAGTAAAGGAAGCTAAAAAATCAAGGTGATTTTCACACCATCAAGCCCTTTCTCATGTGGCAATTTGCTTAATCTTTCTGAATTTCCTCATCTGTAAAACAGAAACCGTGATACCAGCTTTACGGCTAACCTTTTGGGTTAGGGACAACATTAGTAAAATGTGTGTATATACTTTATACATATGTCAGATAGACTGTATGTAAGACAGAATATATATATATATGTAAATATAAACTTTCTTGGCATGTCACATCCTTACATGTAATAGGTATCCAATCAGAAGATAGTTGGGATGATGACAAGAATATAAATTTTGGGACGCCTGGCTGGCTCAGTCAAAGGAGCATGTGACCCTTGATCTTGGGATCATGAGTTCCAACCCCACGTTGGGTGTAGAGATTACAAAAAAAAAAAAAAAAACTTAGAAGAATATAAATATATATTACCAATAATGGCTTTGTTGATAGTCCTGACAACAAAAACTTACAATTTTTATCCATAAATCAAAAATGAAACAAGTCTTCAAATTTTTTTCATGAAAGTAATAAATAGTAAATGCCTCAAACAGCCCAATTTCATGAAGCAAGTCCCAGAATAAAAATAAAGTCACCCTTAGAACTCATCCACAACAGGAGAGGGAACAAATGTAAAACTCCATACACAAAGTCACACTCTTAAGTGTTGCCTCTTGGATAGACTTTCCATTCACTGTCTTATCTCTTTGAACCCTCACAATAGGCCTAGAATGTAGGGATTGTTTAATCTATTAAGGAGGGAAACCAACACACAGAGCGAGGTAACTTGTTCCCTGCCCAAGCTCACAACCTTAGCCAACCTATGCCAAATTTGGTAATAGGAAGAGTCGGCCAGGTTTTAAAGACATAGCATTGTTTAATAGCTACGTAGTAGTCGAGAGCTAATGGTTCTCAGGATCGAAAACTGATGGCAGGAGGAACTCAAATACAAAACAACGTCAGCACCTTCTGTGCTCTATTTACCTTGTTATCCATTATAAAGAGTACCACAGTCTTGGCAAACAGCATTCTCAGAGAAGGTTAAAAAATGAGCAGAGAGCACTTCAGAAATAGCCATGCAGTTCACATTAGCTTTCCGCCAAAGACAAGATCACGCTCTCACATACTTAGACACGCTTGAGCTTCCTCATGTGTCCTTCATCGTGAAGCCTGTCCTTAATAATCTCCACAAAATCACACTGACTTTGACTCGGTCATTTTTGCTACCCCATTAGTTTTTACCCACAAGGCTCTGCAAAAGTGATAGTACATTTCTATTATAAAAGCACATTTATTCTGTGTGTTCAGGAAGTTTTTGACCTTTTTCATCGACTAGCCCAATGAGATCAGCAGCAGTTAGTTCATTTTCCAATGGTAGAAGGAAGGAAGGTGGCCTCTCAGTTAACAGTATTGGTTAATTATTTTTATAATTGTATTCACTACTTAACATGATGGTCCAGATATAACAAAATGCAGCTTAGCAGGATATATCCAAAAGGAACCCGTGTGGATTCATCTAACTACATGCCTCAGCTCTTCTGGAATGCGGGTTGCCAAATGGTTGCACTTAATTTTCAAACTGTGGGTAAGTAGCACAGTTAAAGTTCATTTCCGTTCTGTTATAAAGCCACATTTCCAGACGAAAAAAGAAACAAATTTCAGTGAATTTCATACAAAAAAAAGGTAACCTTTGAAAACAGAGAAAACTGTCTTTAATAGTTTATAAACAAGTCTTTGTTTCTAGTGGTTTTGCATTATTTGCAAAGAAAAATTTTTATGCTATTTAAAGCAATATGTAGAGGGGCACCTGGATGGCTCAGCTGGTTAAGCGTCTGCCTTCAGCTCAGGTCATGGTCTCAGGGTCCTGGGATCAAACCCTGTGTTCCGCTCCCTGCTCAGCGGGGAGTCTTCTTCTCCTTCCCCCTGCTCTTGCATTCTTGCTCACTCTCTCTCTCCCCCTCTCAAATAAATAAATAAAATCTTTTAAAAAAATTTAAAAATTAATATGTATATATTGTAGAAAATTTGGAAAATTCAGAAAAGTGTAAAGAAAAAAATAAAACTGCCAGGAACACTACCATTCAGAAAGTCAACACAGTTAACTTTTTGGCTTTGTAATCTATAAGGTTTTTTGGTTATGTATATACAGGCTTTTAAATTTAATTCCTTGTTTAAAAATGTATAAAAAAAAAGATAGTAGGAAGGGAAAAATGAAGGGGGGAAATTGGAGGGGGAGACAAACCATGAGAAACTATGGACTCTGAGAAACAAACTGAGGGTTCTAGTGGGGAGGGGGTGGGGGGATGGGTTAGCCTGGTGATGGGTATCAAAGAGAGCACGTATTGAATGGAACACTGGGTGTTATACGCAAACAATGAATCATGGAACACTACATCAAAAACTAATGATGTAATGTATGGTGATTAACATAATAAAATTTTAAAAAATGTGTATGTATGTATATATTTATATATATTTAAGTGCTATACAGACACATGAATTTTAATAACTGTATATTAAGCACATTTCACAATTCACTAAAACCCATTTCCTATCACTGGACATTAGGGAATTTTTTTTCTACTATAATGCTCAGAGAACATCTTGAATATAAATTGTCAAGTCTATGTCCTAATGTTGGAAGAGTTCCTAAAATAGAATTACTCTGTTAAAAGATGTGAACAGAGGTGCCTGGGTGGCTCAGTCGTTAAGCGTCTGCCTTCGGCTCAGGACATGATCCCAGGGTCCTGGGATCGAGCCCCACATCAGGCTCCCTGCTCCGCGGGAAGCCTGCTTCTCCCTCTCCTATTCCCCCTGCTTGTATTCCCTCTCTCGCTGTGTCTCTCTCTGTCAAATAAAT